TTCCTGCGCGCCGCAGAGCCCCCTGCGCCCCTGCGAGCGCTACTGGCCCGCCAGCTCCTCTTCTTCGCCGGCGCGCTCTTTGCCGCCCTGCTGCTTCTCACTGTCTACGACGAGGATGTGCTCACCGTAGAGCACGTGTTCACTACCATGACTGCACTCGGGCTCGTGGCCACCGTGGCCAGGTGCGAGGCTCGTGCACGCTTGGGCTCAGGTTTGAGGGTGGCTCACCTACCCACGCTCTAACCCTGCCCCGCCTTCCAGGTGTTTCCTCCCAGAGGAGCAAGGTCAGGGGCGACCCCCGCAGCTCCTGCTGCAGGCGGCCCTGGCCCACATGCACTACTTCCCCGAGGAGCCCGGTTGCGGTGGTAGAGACAGCAACTATAGGCAGATGTCGCAACTGCTGCAGTACCGAGCGGTAAGGGTCAAAGGAGGGCACCCAGGAGGCGCTGGTGGTCCCAGGAGCCTGTGGGGTGACTGAGTTGGAGCCTTCCTATCCTGGACAGTGTCCCTGGGGTCTCCTTGGTCCCTATCTCCTGTGTACACCCCTAGAGACCCCTGCTCAGCCCCACCCCTGCATCCCCAGGCCTCCCTCTTGGAAGAGCTCCTGTCCCCAGTCCTCACCCCGCTGTTTCTGCTCTTGTGGTTCCGTCCTCGAGCCCTGGAGTTTATTGACTTTTTTCATCACTTCACTGTGGATGTGGCCGGGGTTGGAGATATCTGCTCCTTCGCCCTCATGGATGTGAAACGCCACGGCCACCCTCAGGTTAGAGCCCTCATGGCCCACCCCTTCCCCAGGGCAGATTGTTTTCCAAGCCTAGCTCTATTGCTTGCCACCTGTGACCCTGAGCAAGTCACTGCATTTTTTCATGTGGGGATGATGACAGGAACCAGCATGCAGGTTTGTCATGAGGCTGATAGGACATCTTTAGAACCCTTTGTAGAGTTGCCGGCAGTTGCAGGAGCAGAGGCCACCAGAGGGCTGGAGAATGGGGACCGGGTCTGCACCAGGGAAGCTGGGAAGGCTGGGACTGGGTCCAGGTCCTGTTCCACGGCAGTGTTCTGAGTGATCCTGAATGTGGAACATGTGTTTCCCATCCTGCCCACCCTAGAGAGGTCAGTGACCACAGTGCCTGTCTTTGTTTGCAGTGGCTTTCAGAGGGACAGACAGAGGCCTCTGTGGCCCAGCGGGCTGAGAACGGAAAGACTGAGCTCTCCCTGATGCGGTTCTCACTGGCACACCCACAATGGCGCCCCCCAGGGGACAGTTCTAAGTTTCTTGGCCACCTTCGAGGCAGGGTACAACAAGATGCAGCTGCCTGGGGCACCACCTCTGCTCGAAGTCCCCCAACCCCAGGAGTGCTTAGTGATTGCACCTCGCCTCTGGTGAGTCCCAGGCCTGCCCTATTTTTCTGCCATTCTCACCACTATTTTTGTTTTTTTATTTGTTTGTTTTTGCTATGTAGTTTAGGCTGGCCTTCAACTCCCTGTGTAGCCCAGGCTGGCCTCTAACTTGTGGCAATCCTCTGCCTCCCAAGTGCTGGGACTATAGGCGTGTGCCACTGCACCCCCAGCTTCCTGCCTCCTGTAGATCTCTTTTCCCTCCCTTCCTTCTCACCTTTGTTTTCCTCTTCTCTTTAGCACCCAGATGCCTTCCTGGCCAACCTCTTAGTGAACCCCATCCTGCCCCCGAGGGACATGAGCCCCACAGCCACTCGCCCAGCTGCTGCCACAGCCAGTGTTCTTGCCTCTATTTCCCGAATTACCCAGGACCCCAGGTGAGGGAAGTCTGAGGTGGAGCTGATCCTCCAGAAGGAATTGGGGTGCTGGGGTTATTTGGAAAGCGAGGTGCAGGCCCTGGGATGGGGGTGGGGATGTCTTGACTTGCTTGACCTGCTTGCCTCGTGTTCCAGCTGTGTGTCCCCAGGAGGCACTGGGGGCCAGAAGCTAGTCCAGCTCCCAGAGCTGGCCTCTGCTGAGATGAGTCTCCATGCCATCTACCTGCACCAGGTGAGCAGAAGGTTGCTGGAAAGAAGTGGGGGAGGAAGCCTTTGGTGCATAGCCCAGGGAAGGGCAGAAAGGAACTCCTCATTCCTCCTCTGTGTAGCTCCATCAACAGCAGCAGCAGGAGCTGTGGGGAGAAGCCTCAGCCTCCTCGCCCTCCAGGGCCTGGTCCAGCCCCTCACAGCCAGCCTCACCCGATGAGGAGAAGCCATCCTGGTCAAGTGATGGTGAGGAGGGTGGGGTAGAGAGGGCTGATCCTGGTGAATGTGAGGCATTGTGGCATTGTCTAGCTGATGGCTTTTGTTACCAGGCTCCAGCCCTGCCTCTAGCCCCAGACAGCAGTGGGGAAAACCGAGGGCCCAGAATCTGTTTCCTGAAGGGTTTCAGGAGACCGTAGGTACCCAGAGGGAGCCTGGACAGGGCCCTGGCACCGATTGAGACAACACCTCAGGTCAGTATTACCCACTTTGGAGGAGAAAGGAAGGTGTGAGCAGGAAATTGGTTTGGAACCTGTCTTGAAGGGATGGGAACTCTGGTGGGTTTCAGGTCCTGAAGGTGGTCATCTGTAGAACCTGAGCCCTGGGCTGCTTTTCAAGTGCCTTCCTCTCTCTCAGGTTCCTGGCTTCTCCAGCTACAGGAGATTGGACAGGGTGGTGTAGAAGTACACAAGAAGCCATCTGTACAGGCACGCCCAGGGATGACAAGCCCAGAATGCTTTCACAGGACAGGACCTGGGGTTCATTGAGGAACTCGTCCCAGTGAACAAAGAAAGAGAGGAGATGTCTGTAGCACTGGCAGACAAATCGTAGAGATGGTCCCCACACTAGAGGTTAAGGAGGGAGCACTGTCCAACTGGCTATCTAGAAGTTGCTTGGGAAGTTCCTGAGTGTCCTTAAAGTGGAGGATAGAGCCCAGGTCGAGGCCAAGCTAAGTGTTAGGCAAGCAGGAAAGCACGTGGTCTGAGAGTCAAGGCTTCCCTCCTGCTGACCTCACATTCCCAGGGGACTTGGGGGATGGGGCCTTTTAAGTGGAAAAATTAGAGATGGCTAATGTTTTGGACCTTATCACTGCTGTGTTATCTGAGGAAGTGGGCCTGGGTCCTCTTCTTGTGTGAAAGAAGCAGTCAAAATTGCTCCTATCTTTGTGCCAGAGCCTCTGGCATACCCCCTCCTGGCAGCTGAAGGATGCCACCTGCCTTCTCAATAAAGCCCGAGGGAACAACACAAGGAAACTGTCTGTGGTTGGCTGGAGACTTTTTACAATTCTGGGTCATGTACAGTGTGTAGGATGCAATGTTCAGGAATTACCACACCCACATCTGTACAAGTTAAAACACAAAACCTTGCCTTTATAATTGTAATCCACAGGGGCTGGGTGAGGCATCTCATAACATCTGGCAGTCTCTTGTGGTAAATCTTCAATAATAAATATTTATTTGAATTGGTTGGAGATAGGCTTTAAAGGTAAGCTACTCCAGAGAGGGCCAAGGGGACTCTACAGGTCACTGAAGTACACGAAGTGTGGCAGGAGGCCCTGAACACTACTGCTGGGAGGGTCCAAGGGTTATATGGAGCCCTGGAGGCATTTAATTCATTCCCAGGGGAATGAGCCTTCCTCTCATGGTCAGCGGTCAGGAGTGCTGCAGTCCCTCTCCTGAACACATAGTGGGGGATCCAGGGGGCTGTCAGGGGCTGGGGGTGTCTGGGCCTGGCAGGTCGAATGCCCAGGGCACTGCACCCCGCAGGTGCCGCTCCTGCAAGGAAAAGCTCTGGGTGCGTATGCGACTTGTCACCTCCTGGGTGCGCAGTGTGAGCCCAAAAATGTCCTCGTGATAGCGTTGTTGATCCTGCCGGGAAAGCTCATCCGATTAGAAACTGAGCTGGAGCCAGAAGGAAACCTCCCACCAGGCCCCATGGCCCGCCCCAAGCCCTCTTCCCCGCCCCAAACTCCCTGGCACCGTTCGGTACCCGCAGTACACCGATGACGTCACCGGCCTCTTCCAGCTCCATGTCTCCCTCGGTCGCCAGGATTCGCTGTACTGTCTGCAGGACGTTGGTTGCCATGGTGACGTCTCCACAGACAAACATGTGGCCCCGCTCGAGACACAGCACGCGGTACACTTCAGCAGCTAGCTCAGTCCTTAGGATGTCCTGCACATAGGTCTGAGGGGAGGTGAGGCCCAGAATGTGGAAGGACCCTGGGGTGGCCCGAGTGGGGCTTACGTTTCTGGAGTGGGATCTGGGCCCGGGGCTGGGGCAAAGGTCTCGGGCTGGGGCTGGGGCGGAGCCTGGGTCCCCGCCCCTTGGAGCACCCTTCCCCGCTTTCCTAGCTACCCTCAGGTCGCACTGCGCACTTAGGGTGCCGTACCTTAGGGCTGTTGGGTTCCCGGGAGAAGGCTGTGAGGACACGGTCAAACACCCCTCGCTGCTGGGCGTCCTGCACCTCGTCGCGGTAGAGATGGTCAAGTTGGGAGCATCGACAGCCAAATACCAAAGTCATGGGTGCGGGCTGCAGCCCTACGAGCAACATGCAGCTTAGGAGGGTCCTTTTTCCCAGGGTAGCCCTGGCGACACTGGCCATCCTCTCCCAGGCTGACAACCCAGCGTTTTGGGGCTGAAACACCACGATGTTGGCAATTTGGATTCCTGCACAGAGACCTTGCCGCATCTCTGACTTACAGAGAAGGAAACCCCGGCTTTTGGGTGGTCCCAGATTTGCCCAGGTTCTCAATCTTCCGCTCAGTCACAGCCCCCTTTTGAGTGACACCTGCTCAGTCTAAGCCCCCTATCCCTTCCTTAAATATTGGCCCCTGGGGCATTTCTTCTGAGTCTCAGCTCCATCCCTTCCAACCCTCCATTTGCCTTTGTCCTTAATCCAGCGCAACACCTAAATGCCAGGCACCAGGAAGCAGACAAACAGGGCCAGCTCTTCTGTCAGGCCCTCTGTCTTGGTCTGGTAAGCTTCCCTTCACCTTTGGCTCTGGTTTCTTGCCCTTTCTGTCTTTACTCTTCCTGCCTTTTTCCAACCCCACCCTTTTGTCCCTCCCTCCTGCCTTTCTGGTCCTTCCCTGAGGGCCAGCCTCACCTTTGCTCTCAATGTCGTGCAGCCGCTCCTGCCAGAATCCCCGGAAGGGGGCAATGCCAGTGCCTGGACCCACCAGAATGCAGGGCAAGCTGGGGTCGGGCGGGAGCCGGAAGGAAGGAGCCCTAGCCAGGAGAGACCCCATCAGGTTTCCCTGTGTCCCCGTACATACCACTGAAGGTCCAATGACAAATGCATTAATATTTGTCAGCCCTCAAAGCAGTCTGGGTCATGGTAAGACTATGTAATTGTTTACTAAAAGAACTCTGCTCACAGCCAGAAACTCTCTGGGCCTGTGATGTTTAGGGATTGGACTAGCAGAAAATATAGTTCAGTTTAGACTGAAAGATACTTAGATGACTAAGTTTAGGGGATTTAAAAAATGGGGGAGGGGGCAGGGATTTAACTCAGTGGCACTACACCTGCCTTGTAAGTGCAAGGTCCTGAGTTCTATCCCCCGTACCAAAAAA